CAGAAGCGACGCCGCGCAACTGCCGCCGCTCGCCCTGCGCCGCGCTCAGCGCCGCACCACGCCCCGCCCCGCCAAGCCCCGCCCACCGGCGCTCCCCTCAGCGAGGAAAGGCGGTGCTTGCCAGCACTTCGGCGGGAGCGCGGCGCCATCTTTAGTGCGGGCAAAAGCGCCGGCCGCCATTTTGTTGGCGGCCGGAGGCGGGGACTCGGAGGCGCGGGCGAGGGGAATGATGGCTGTGGGCGGCACGTTCGGCTTTAGGCCCCGGGCTGGCCCTCTCTCCTGGGCTTGGGAGCGGTGGTGGTGCGAGGAGATGACCCATGAGGGCTTTGGGAGTGCAGAGCCTTGTCCTTAAGTGTGAGGTGACGTGCTGGTGCATGTTCCAGCGCAGGGACCTGGGAGAGATCCCCTCTGGTGTGGTCTGCATGGGCCTGGAGGGGCTGAGAGACCCTGCCCAGGACTAGGGGCTAAGCTCGCCTGAGCATGGAGGAATAGCATAGTTGGTACAAGGATGGGGAGAAAGGCAAAACTAGCAGTAGCCCTGACTGTTAGACTCAGCAGTGAGGACAGGAGTGAAGCACTGAGACGGCCTTGGTCCCTGAACAGTCAAGAGATCTCACCTTCTACTATCTTGTCTTCCAAAAGTTTCTCTGAAGCGAAAGGCAGCTATATCAAAGTTTTGCATGTGACTGCCCCCTCCCATTTGCTCTGTAGCCTTCTGGGGAGGTTATGATACCACTTTGGAAAGCACGTCCTCATCTGCTGATCTCTACAGACACACACGCACAGGCAAGGCTAAATTGCTATAGAGCTTCCCTAGCAGTGTGGGGATTCTGCACTGGAAATGAGTGGTGGCAAATAAAAAACAAATAAAACATCCCCTCCAGTATCAGCAATAGCTGGTGACTGCACTGTCCGTACCATTGGGGAGCAGGATAGCAATGCACTGCACAAAGCTCATGTGTTCTGTCTCCCACTGCCACTGCTGCTGCTGGGTTGATCTATCAGGGTACCTTCTGTGTTCCTGTAAAGTGAAAAAGTGAAGCAATTCCTAGAAAATGGCTCTTGGGACAAGTGATCTCGGCTGTCTTGCATCCATTTCTTCTGACTTGCTGCTGACTGATCCTGTACCTGATGGAACATGGAGATTCAAGAGAAATACATGAGTGAATTAATCCCAGGAGCAAAGACAAGGCAGGAAAAAAAGGAGGAAGCAATTGTTAAAATACAAGCCTCAACTACCTCAGCAGTTATGTGTAGCTAGCAGAAAGTACTGTGTGATGTACTGATACGTGCTTTGTCATGTTTCTGGAAGCTTCTTCTAACATTTGAGACCTTTTAGAGATTTTCCCTTGACCAGATCATAATTGCTGAAATTTCCAGCCAGTCTTTTGGAAAGACTGGTTGTTCTCTGGCATGCTTTGAACAGCAAAGGAGAGTGTTCTTGTCCCTCTGATTTTATTTCGCTTCCTACATCTCATTGGGAAGACTGAATGCTGCAGTTGGGGATTGTTAGTCATGTGTTAGGAGCTTTGCCTGGTGACAACATTTCATGAGTGGTGTTCACTCCAAAAGCAGGCTCTGCAAAAGCTGTGTGGGGCTCTTTGGGAGTGGCAGTGCAGTCCTGTGAAGAGGGAATTGCAAGCTGCCCAACAGGCTTTGATACAAGGGGAATGGATGCAGGTGTCATAAATCCTCTGAGATGCCTCTGGGTGAAGTTTATTGCTGAGAAGGACAACTTAGGAAAATTACTTGAAAGTCTGTCTTTGTGGCATGGGTCTTAATACCAGTTGGCTTTTTCTCTGTGCTAGAAAGAAGACAAGCGAGTATTTTCTTGTGTCAACCTTAAACTATTCTCAGCATTTCTAAAAGCTTCTCTTCCTTAACTATGTATGAGTATAAACAGGTGCTTGTTTGGTCTCTCCCATCATATCAGATGTTTAAGATTCAGAAATCACCACATCATTTTTTTTTTTCAGTGTAATGTCCTCCGTGCTGCTCGTAGATAATTTATAGAATCTGAAGAGGTTCTCCCATGTGGGATCAGTACTTGCCCTTCTTACCTATTGAAAGAACTGAGTAGTGCCTCAGAAATTTGCCCACTCACAGAAATCAGTGCACAACATCCATTCTGAATTCCAAATTAACCCCAAATGCCATGGTTGAATTCTGGTGGACTTGATAGGAGCTTGTTGAGGCAAGGGTCCGCTACAAACCGTACTTCTGCTGCTGTTACAGGCAAACCAGGGTGAAATTCTACCATCTGCGGTTGCCAAATACTTCATCTGAACAAGGCAAAACAGCTTAGGGCATGTGCTGCCACAGGATTTCTTAGCAGCCGGTAACTCCATGTGGTTCTACAAAGAGAGCATGTACAGGAAGAACAGGAAAATCCAGTCTGAGTAAACGTTGGGAAAGAATTTGAGATTTCTTAGCTCAAGGCATGAACAAAGATTATGGTAGAGCAGTAGTAGAAACTATCCCTGTGGGCAAGGACATGTTCCATAGGGTTTCTGTATGTCCAAAATGATCTGGAAGAGGTCTGGAGACAGGCCATGAGGCAAGGACAGAGTCTGCTGGGCTGCACTAATGGCAATCTCCTCCTCACCCTGTATTCTCCAGAGGCAGCCGCACCTGAACTCACCTGCCTGGCCTAGAGATGTGGAAGATAGATGGAAAGCAAAGGACAGCCAGCAAGCACAGATCCTCAGTAACATTATCAAAAGAAGGGATGAGAGCTGTATTTCGCTGTGGATGAGGTCAACCAAGTCTCCCCAAAGGACAGAATTCAGAGCAGGAGATGCTGAAGGAACCCCGAAAAGCCAGGAGAAAGTACTGGTTAGGAAACCACTGGGAGATAAGTCTCTGGAGAGCACAAAGATATTCAAAGCAGCAGAGAAATCAGAAAAGGGCAGAGCCACCTCCTTTGAGGAGGTGCTGGAAAGGGGTGCAAAAGCCAAGGAGAGGTGACACAGCGCAGAGCAGAAGGAGACTGCACCCTGTTGAGGAAGGCAGCAGTACCTCTGGAAATGCAGAGGGGCCTGCTAGGAGGACAGCTACCCACAGCTTTCTGTTCCTGAAACTGCTCCTCTCTGACAGGACAAAGAGGGAAACCTGATGCTACAAGCTTTCCCTAGCCACCGATCACAGCACAAATTCTATAGCTCAAGTTGGTGGCACTCTGTTTGTGCTTGATGGGCAGCGCAGGGATCTCCGGTGGATTGAGCACTTCTCCAGCTGCTGCCTTTGCAGCACAGCACCACGGGCTTCTTCATTCTGCTTACCCAGCTGTACCCAGGTTGGACCATGTAGAGGAAATTATGGAGAGTCCAGATGGAGGGGACTGTAGAGCCATCCTTCCATGCTGACTTCCTGAAGGCAAGAAAATCCAGGTTACTGAGGGTAGAGCCAACTTTGGAAAGGTCTGTCACACAGTGCTCCTAATGACTCAGACAAGTGTCTGCTGCTGATGTTTCCAAGTCAGCACAACCCGCTGCCTGCTACCTGCTAGTTTTCCTAGTCAACAGTAGACACAGAGCTGACTGAAGCCAGCGGAGCTGGACAGAGTTTCACTGTGTGCTAGTGCTCCAGTTTGCTATGCAGGGGCTGAGCCAAGCCTCTCCAGCAAAGCTAGAGTGCTTCCACCACTCTCCTGATCCATCCTCGGCTGTAGCTGAGCTGGTTTCTGAAAGGCCCATGTTGAAATGAGTAGTGCTTTTTAGATTACACATTGTCAGTTAAGAAGTAAAGCATCTGGGAAGCATTTCTACTCACTTGCCTGCCTGGGCAATTCTTCACTAGTGTGTCTGAAGGTGTCCAAAAGCTGTCTCTCCACAGTTTTCTCCATGCTGACCATCTGGCTGACATGCCAGTGGCAGTGGTCAGTGACAGATGGTCAAGAGGTGCAGGAATGTCATTCAGACCCCTTTTTGCTCACCTCAGTTTTCCGTGAACCTCCTCCAGATGCTGCAGATGTGGTGACTTCATCTCTGGGAATTCAAGAGGCCGTGCAGAATCAGAGTGGTTTGTGTTGGCAAGGACCTTAAAAGATCGTCTAGTCTAACCTCTCTGCCATGGGCAGGGACATCTTTCACTCGATCCAGTTGCTCTAAGCCTTGTCCAAGCTGACTTTGAACTCTTCCAATGATGGGGCATCCACAGCTTCTCTGGGAAACCTGCTCCAGGGGCCACTATTCTTTCTCCTCTTCATTAATGACCTGGATGATGGGTCAGAGTGCACCCTCAGCGAGTTTGCAGATGATCAAAAACTGCGAGGAGCGGCTGATACAGCAGAGGGTTGTGCGGCTGTTCAGAGGTGACCAGGTAGGCTGGAGAAATGAGCCTCATGAAGTTCAGCAAAGGGATGTGCAAAGTTCTGCACGTGGGGAGGGTAAGCCAGTACATGCTGGAGGTATGACAACTGGCCAGCCATGGCCTTGAAACTTTCTGGCCTTTGCTGCCTTCAGGAATTGCAGGCCCCTGAGGCCAGAGGGAGAGCCTGGGGTGAGGAAGAGTTCCCCTTGGGAAGGGAGAACCAGTCTGAGGAACAAATGGGACAAACACAAGTCCCTGGGAGCAGATGGGGTGCCTCCGGAGTGCTGAGCACATACTGGAGCAAGCGCTGTGAAGGGCCACAAAGATGACGAAGGGACTGGAGAAACGGTCCTGGGAGGCTGGGGATGGCTCTGCTCATGGTGGGAACCTTCATATTCCTGGGGCCTGGCAGCTCCCACAGTCACAGAGAGGCTTTGAATGGAGAGATGTCCCCAGACAGGGAGGCTGCTTTGTGGGCTGGAGGGTGATGCCACCATGGATTGCAGGAGGTCCCTTGCAAGGGCTCTCCATGATGGGAGCTCTGCCAGGAAAGAGGGAGCCAAGAGAGGGTACAAGGCTTTTATTAGCAGCTCCCTGAAGTCAAGGGGGCCCCAAAACTGCATGGGAGTTCTGAGTGCTTGGCGACCTTTGGGGGCTGCCTTTGGGGGAAGACAGGGGGCCGCTGGGTCTGGCACATCAAAAGGCATCCAGCCCAGGAGCAGAGCATAGAGGATGACTCTGGCGCTCCAGATGTCTGCCAGGAAGGGGTTGTAGGGCTGCGCCTGCAGGATCTCGGCCCAGGCGTAAACATAGGAACAGCAGAAGGTTTGGCTCAGCACTGCCTTGGCGGGCAGCCCCACATGTTGGGAGGCCCCGAGGGACTCCCCACTGGCATCCTGCAGGGCCACCCTCCTGGAGAAGATGGAGATGGAGACTTCACATTGTCCTCACTGTCCAGGAGAAGGTTTTCCACCTTCAAGTCTCTGCAGTGGAGAGGCAGCACGTGCTGGGGGCAGGCAGGGGCGGCTGGCAGCTGTGGGGAGGGGGAGCTCAGGGGCCAAGGAGGGAGCTGTGGGTAGATGAGGGGTTGGGGGCTCCTCTGGGAGGAGGAGGGCTTGGACTGGGAGCTGTGGGGCAGGTGGCCATGTGGAGGGAGGGTAGGTAAGGGTGCGGTGTGGCAGGCAGAGGCGTGGAGACCAAGAGAGGCTTCCAGGAGGCCCTTCATTGCCTGGGCTGGGAATGATCCTCCAGGCAGCATGGCTGGGGCCCTGCAGACCCCTCACTGCCTCGGGGAGCTCTGTCCCCAGCTGCCAGGGCGGGGACCCTGTGCCCCCACCATGCTCACCCACCGGTGGACGATGGCCCTGCTGCGCAGGTAAGGCAGAGCGAGGGGCAGCTGGGAGAACCAGAGCCCTGCCTGTCCCTGGGAGCAGGGTTCTTGGCTCTGCAACCGCTCCAGGATGCTCCCTGAGGGGGCCAGCTCCACGAGGAGCTAGAAGCCCGGCCTTATCTCCGTACCTTGCTATACCGTGATGGCACAAGCCCTTCAAGACCTGTGGGCGGCAGGGGCTTGACGTGGGACAGGCCTGCCCCCCTCTGGCCCCCTTTTGCCTTGCACCCCCGCTCCTTTTGCCCACCAATGCTCTCCTCTAACCCTCGGCAGTTCCCCACAAAGTGCCCACCACAGCTGCTATCCTCCTGGAGCTCCCATCGCCAATAGCTCCCTGCCCCTCCGAATCTCTCTCTGCCCATTGCCCCCCGGTGCCCCCAATTGGCCTTCTACCCCAGGGACTCCCCCTGCCCCTTCAACTCCTCCAATGCCCCTGCCCTGTTAAGCCTCCCAGTAGCACCACTGCCCATGAAGCTCTCCAAAGGGTGCTCCCCCTTATCCCCTGATGCCCCAAGGCCCCTCCGATGCCCCCCCTCCCTTTGCCCCGCAGCATTTCATGATGCTCAGGGCCCCCCCCTCCCCACTGCCCCCTGCTCGCCCTGCCTGCATCTGATGGGACAGGAGCTTCCTGAAGTCTTCCTCCAGCACCTTCCTTTTGGAGATGAACTTAATGGGCACCTTGTGCCACACCGTGGGGGGCGGCAGCCTCATACACCTCCCAGTAGGCACTATGAGCCAGCAGCAGCTCCAGCTTCCCAGCACCAGGATGGTCTCGGGGTCGGGAGGTGCCGAGCCCCCTAGAACCACTGATAGACAGAGCCAAGCCCCAGCCTCCCAGCTGGAAGGTCAAATACCTGAGTTGGCCTGGAAGAGCCCATGGAGCAGCAGCAGCAGCAGAAGAGCTGAGGTCCCCAACTTGTGCTGCCCAGACGGCGAGAGGGGACAACAGTTGAGGACTCTCGCTCGAGGCAGGGACGATGTACGAGCCCTCTGGCTGCCCGCCCTGGGCTGGGGACCCCATGCCCTGCAGCCATCATGGTCCTCCTCCTTGTCATCCACCTGCTGTCACGGAGATGGCAGCTGGGAGGGGGTCCCCAACTCTGCGTGTGGGGGGGAGTGCTGCCAGCAGCCCCAGATGGGGGGATGTAGAACTCGCTCGTTGGGGTTTGCTGCAGGGGCTGGACCCTGAGGTGTCCTGGGCTGAGAGGCTGGGCAGGTGGCAGCAAAGGGGGTTCTAGTGAAACCCCTTCCAAAGCTTTTCGGAAAGCTTGGACAACTACAGTTTTGCTCTTTGCAGTGCTCCCTGCTCTGGGCAAGCACATCCTTCACAACCAAGACTAGGCTGGAAATTGAGACTGGCACGAGGTGGGTCTCGCTGCTCATGTGCTTGCACTGGGTGTGCTGGAAAAGGCAGCTGCTGGGCTGCTGAGGCAGCAGGATGCAAGTCCTCTGCTGGCGGGTGTCGTGGTTTAACCCCCGGCCAGCAACTAAGCACCCCACAGGCGCTCACTCAGCTCCCTCACAGTGGGATAGGGGAGAGAATCAGAAGGGTAAAAGTGAGAAAACTGATGGGCTGAGATAAAGACAGTTTGAGAGGTAAAGCAAAAGCCACATGTGCAAGCAAAGTAAAGCAAGGAATTCATTCACCACTTCCCAGGGGCAGGCAGGTGCTCAGCCATCTCCAGGAAAGTGTAATGGTGACTTGGGAAGACAAACGCCATCACTGCGAACATCCCCCCCTCTTCCTTCTTATTCCCCCAGCTTTATATGCTGAGCATGACATCCTATGGTCTGGAATATCCGTTTGGTCAGTTGGGGTCAGCTGTCCCGGCTGTGTCCCCTCCCAACTTCTTGTGCACCCCCAGCCTGCTTGCTGGTGGGGTGGTGTGAGAAGCAGAAAAGGCCTTGGCTCTGTGTAAGCACTGCTCAGCAATAACTAAAACATCTCTGCATTATCAGCACTGTTTTCAGCACAAATCCAAAACATAGCCCCATACTAGCTACTATGAAGAAAATTAACTCTATCCCAGCCAAAACCAGCATAGCAGGTTCAGGAAAATTAGGCCCAAACACCAGCTGCTTGGCACTGGGAGGAATTCAGAGGCCAAATAGCAGCTTGGTGAAGCTGAGCTCCTCCAGGACCAGTCGCCAGAGGAACTGCAAGGAAAGCCAATCCAGAACTCGATGTGACAACTTAGGAGACGAAATGGGGATAGCTGTGAACTCTTCAAGCAAGTGGCTTTTATGTGCTCACACTGGCGCACTGCCCTGCTCACAAGCACCCAGATGGTTGTGCTGGTGCTCTGGCACTCGTGCATGACACGGGAGAGGGACAACAGCAACCAGGGCCTTGCTCTGTTCCAGGGGAACCTCTTGAGTGCCGATGGCTGTCAAGCCAACGAGGATAAGCATGCTGGCAAGCTTTTGGACTGACCTTAGACCCTCTAGGCATCACGAGCCCTAACAAGGCAGCCCTTTGCCAGCAGGTCCTGCTAAGTTCAGGTCCATGAACTTGTGGGCAGCTTGCTGCCCGCTGGTTGCTTTTCCCCGACGTTGAACCCCAGCTTGAAGGCAACGTCTGCAGGCTGCTGGAGGCTGTCCTCCTACTGCGAGGATGCAGGGCCATCTGCCACCGAGTTGCCCCAAGCTGCCCCATGCAATCAGGGAAGCGTCCTGGGACCCGCATCCCAGGAAGAGCCTTCTCCATCATCAGCGGGGGCACTGTGCTGGCTGTGCTGGGCCTTGCAGTGCTTCCACACGCACATCACCATCCACCCTTGGATCCATCCATCCACCAGCTTGCACCGACACCGTTATTTCCACCAACAGCCTCCCCAAAGCCGTGCCTCCGAGCACCAACAAGCACCTGCCTCACAAAGCTGGGGCACAGCCCCTGGGGCCAGCTCAGGCTGTCGGGGCTCTTCTTCCCCAAGGGAGAGCTACGCAAGAGAACGAACCCCGCCGCTTTTCCTCCCGCCCTCCCGGAGGCATGTGCGCTCAGCAAGGACCCGGGAGCCCCGGGCAGCTCCTCGGCGCCTCCCGGCTGTGGCCGGGTGCCTGCCAGCACCGAGGCTCCCGTGGAGATCTGCCCCTAAAGCCGCTTCCCTGTGGGGGACCCCCGGGCACCGGCACCTCCGCTCCGCTCCGCTCCACCCCGCCCACGGAGAACCGGGGCCCGGCCCCGCCGCCGACCGGGGAGCCTGGCGGTGCTGCCCCGGAAGAGCCGCTCGGCCTTAGCCTGTCCCCGCCCCCCCGGGGAGGCGTGCCCGGCGCCAGTCCGCGGTTTAACCAATGAAAAAAAACCTGCTGCACTGCGTCAGCGCCGCGCACCGCCGGCGGAAGCTGTTACTAGGCAGGTCGGTGCGGCTGGCCCAATGGGAGCAAGGCGCTGCGGCCGGGCCCGGGCGCAGGCGGGGGCGGCGGCAGCGGGCGCGGAGCG